GAGGTCCCATAATTAGATGGAATTACTTTCCAATACATTCTATGCCTGACCACCGTTATATATTTCTTGTGTGGATATAAGTAACCTACAACACAGCACTAAGAGCAGTAATGTAGAATTATGCAGTACTTCTTTCTTATATGATTAAGTATTACTTAGTTTACTAATAAATATATTTGCTGATTGTTTACAATTCGGTAGTTTGATGCCCTGAACTTTACAATCCGAAATCTTAGCAATAATATCTTAGTTCAATAGGCAGACAGAAAAGTAGGAAGCACTGGACATTTATTTTATCCTAGTATTGGTCTCTTTACTTACTTACTTACTTACTTACACCTGTTACCGCTCATTGGGGTGCATAAACCGCTCACCAGCTTTCCCCATTCGACTTTTTCCTGAGAAATCGTTTCCGGTTCCTTCTAGTTGCTATTGCCCCTTTTTCCATTCCGGACGTGGTGTGTTCTTTGGTCTTCCTCTTTTCCATATCCTTTGCATTGTGATGCAGTTTGGTGATTTCCGTAATGTATGTCCCATAAATTTCCATTGTCTTTTCCTAATTTCCTCCTCAGCTAGAAGCTGATTTGTTCTATCCCATAGAAGGCTGTTGCTGATGGTATCGATTGGTCTCTTTAGCAGAGCATATTCATGCACCCACTTGGGATTGGACCTAGGACTTAGTGAGATTTTACCTTCAGATGTTATGTTTCTGTTTCTAATTCTTACTGCTTCCTAATTAACCTTTCCAACATATCAGAAATTAAAGGAACAATTGTTGAAGCGAATGTAGTTTTGTTGAGTCATCACGTTAGGCAAATCAAACCACCACATTAATGTGATAGCTAAACGATAGTAGGCTATAATCATTTATTTCATAGAACCAGGATTTTTGTAATGAAGTCATATTGAAATTTCAATAGATTCTTGAACAAAGGAGATCGAAAACACTTTTCCTTTTATTCAGTCACTCAGTCAGCTGCAACGTAGGACCAGGCACATATATGCATCGGTCCAAGTTGCCATACCGCACTAGCACAACAAGATGAACATCGGACACATAGAAGTTCTATTCCTTTCACCTTATCTTCATGTTAAACTAAGATTATCTTTAATGATAACTAGTTTTGCTTTGAAATAAATGTTATCAGTTGTTCGTAATATTAATATTCCTTTAAGCACGATATGCTTGACTTCCTATAATAAATGCTGATGATAAACAAAGATGGATAATGGCCAGCAGTGGAATCCAATTCGACGAGCGTTTCACCCTATTTGGGACTCGTTAAGTGAATACGCCTGCATCTTACAGTTGATGTTCACTCCGTGATTCGAACTCTGAGATGCAGGTACATCTAGCTGACGCACGTCAAACTGGATTCCACTGCTAGCCATTATCCATCTTTTCTTAAAAAGCATGTGACTTCATGCAATATTGAGGCAGTCTACACAGATGCACATATCCCAATAAGAGACTGATCAATCACATTCGTAAATAACAATGAGAAGACTTAAGTAAAGCAACACCAAATAAACTGTTGATGTTAGTTGTTTTTTTTTGCTGAATGATTGAGCTAAGAATCTTTTGTTTGTCGTGATGGACAAGATCGTCATTATCAAATTCATATAAAATCAAGATTTTTAGAATTATCCTAAAAATGTCTGATTACTCCGTATTAGTCACAGTTTATGAGAAATTACTTCACCTACTGTTTAAAGAGAAAATTGCCATCATCCTGAGGATACAAGTGTTTATTGACAGTTGTCTGCTCGCTATACTTCAGATCCGTTGGCCAGACACTACCAGTAACAGCCTACGATGTGATGTGGTGAAAACATTATGATTAAAATGTGATCAACTGACTGACGACAACATTTGGAAGTTCAAAACAATTCTGAATCATATACATTATGATTGAACACAAGCTGTCACAATTCGGCATTATTTACGTACAAGTTTGTGCTAATGATGTCGTTCAGAAGAACGATGAAAGCTCCACGACCAAACCATCCATCTCAGAGAACAAAAATCCATCATAATTTACGTAATATTGTCACTGAATATTAACAATCCTTCAAAGAGAATCATGATCAAGCACAGAGAGATGTTGAAATTGCCTAACTTGAAAAGACCCGATTTTATTAACACAAAATTACAATTTTACAACCAACTTTTGATCATGGTAATGGCATCAAAAGTAGTTTATACTGTCATCTGTCGCTCTATTTCTCGCTGCACATTGATTTATGTAATCTGATAAAAACTATCCAAGTTATAGTTGGTAATAATATAAGATATTTCCGACGCTTCATTTAAAAGTAGAGATGGTGAAAACGTTTTTAATAAAAGGGTTCGTGAATTCGAATTCTCACTTAAGTGGGTAGCCAAAATGTTTTTCTATTAAAATACTAATATCCTGTGGTGTGTGCTACTTATATCCATATAAGAAGTATATGACGTTAGGGGGGAACAGAATGTCTAACAGCAGAGAGACAAAAGGATCGAACAGTAAAGATTGAAAACAGAATGTGATTTGTATGAAAATGCCAGAACAATGAAATCTGAGTCATTTTGAGACAAATGATTGACATTTTGCAAATTGAGCCTTTACTATATGATTGCCAAAGAAGACAGGCCAATCACTGAAATTCAAAAACAGCGGAACAGGTAGACAGAGTACTTCCAGGAACTCCTGAATAATCTGGCTTCAATGAATCCACAGGACATCAAAGCAGCACACACAGATCTTCCTATAGGTGTCAATCGACCAACGACCGAAGAAATCAGAATGGCCATCAGACAAATCCAGAGCAGGAAAGCAGCGGGACCCGACAATACACCAACTGAAGCACTGAAGTCAGACATCGAAGTAACTACGAACATTCTTCATCTTCTATTCAAGAAGATTTGGGAGGAGGATTAAGTGCCGATGGACTGGAAGGAAGGACACCTCATCAAGATTCCAAAGAAAGGAGATCTGAGCAAGTGTGAAAACTACAGAGGCATTACACTACTGTCAATACCGGGTAAAGTCTTAACAGTGTGTTGCTGAACCGGATGAAAGACACAGTATATGCCCAACTTTGAAATCAACAAGCTGGATTCCGTATGGATCGGTCGTGCACAGACCAAATTGCGACACTACGGATCATCGTCGAACAACCAATTGATTGGAACTCGTCACTCTACATCAACTTCATTGATTATGAGAAAGCATTTGATAGTGTAGATAGGAGAAGGTTATGGAAACTTCTTCGACACTACGTAGTACCTAAGACGATTGTCAATATCACCCGAAACTCATACGATGGACTACAGTGCAAAGTATTGCATGGAGGACAGCTGACAGATGCATTCGTTACTATTAATCATTTCTTGCATTTATATCTGATGGTTTCTCTGGATAAAGTACACTTCATAGTTTATGGGATGATAATTAAGTTTCATAATCAAAACTAATAGATTAGCACAATACAATACAGTACTTGTTGAAACTGTACTTTATTAATGACATTGATTGTTAACTGTTTATTTGATCTGTAATGATATATGATTAGGATAGTGTTAGGTCTCTTTAAGCATAATGAATGGTAACTTTTGCGAACCATTTATGGACAAATACTATGAGTATAATTGTTAATTAACTAAACTACTCATATTTATGTTTCTCTTATTATAAGCTTTATTTTGACCTATGAACTATTATTATACAATTTACCATTCTTGAGTTATGCTCAGTCTATCAATTACTACCTCCCATATTCACAGCCACATTTGGCTAATTATTGTACAAATGTCGTTTCCTATTTTATGGTACGATGTGGTCTGTTTGGTTGGTATATAAATCCAGAATGTTTGAAGTACATGATTTATATTATAGAGACTGAGATTGTTGTTCTGCACTCAACAGGTAGGGTTAGGTATGAGGCAGGACTGATAAATACTCTAGACAACTCGTACGGGTTTTATGTGTCATAGGGACTAAGGCCACAGGCTATAACAATCATTGTAGTTCTATTGAGTCAGATGAAAATGCGAGCCATAAATTGATAAAACAATGATGATTATATAATGATTTTTATGATATCAGTCTGTTATAATTAAGTGTTGATATTCATTGAAGTCGATGATTCACTGACTTTTTATTGTGTTTATCTTCTTGCAACTTAAACTAATAGTAGGATGTGTCAGGTTTTACATTTCTGTAAGGGACTAATACACTGAATCGAATTTATTTCAATATTCCTGATTGATTGCTAATTGACCTATGTTAATAATATTTCCTAGGAACCAGGACCTTCGCTCTCGCTCGCGAACGCCTAACCTCTAGACCACTGAGCCGACCGGCATCCAAAGATGTTAATGGTTAACTTAAACCAATACACGATATTATGCTACCGTTTGCCATTGTATTCAGTGGGTAACTGCCTGAAAGTAGACCTGTATGAAAAACTTTGTTCAGTGCTTCTCTCTAGAACTTCAGGTAATCTATCTTGATGCCACTCTCACTCACTGAAGACAATAGTGGACGTTGGCGCGATTTCGTCGATTTTCATAACCCGTGTCGGGTAGAGACATGTATTTACCTCAGTACAACGGAAGACGATCGTGCGATTTCACAGATTGGTTGAGGTAAGACATTAACACCGTTGGATGTCAAGTTAGTGGTCTAGAAGTTAAGCGTTCAGGCATGAGACTGAAAGCCCTGTGTTCGAACTCCGCAAGCGAGATTAGCACTGCTGACGAGTCTCACCATAGGAAGAAACGGCCGTTCGATACTTTCAGGTTTTCAACGGTGGTCTAACATCAATCAATTCAAGATCTCAATCAACAAATAAACAAGATTCTTTCTTGATTTCTTTTTCCCTTATTTGCTTACAGTTTATTATTATCATGTGTTGATTAGTGATTCTTTCTATAATTTTCTTTTAGGGTTATCCAGCTCCATTAATTGAATCAAAACTTCAAACAGCTTTAATGAATGATGAATCGGAATTACCAAGATTTTATTGTCGTGCATGTCCAACTGGTTGTTTGAATTGTAAATCAAATAAATTATGCCGTATACAATTAGATTATAATTTACTTAGAGCAATACCATTAGCTTTTCAAACATTTTGTATTACAATATGTTTATTATTTGGGATAGCTATGTTTAAATTACGTAGAGCCCGAGTAAGTTATCCATCACTTTCTATTTATCTATTTATAATCTCTTTTGATCTATTTTAAATTGAGAAATGATAACACTGAGATAGATAGGATGAGTAAGCCAACAAGCCTTTCTTTTAATGTATCTGTATGATTTATTGCATAGCTATACTTACTTACTTACTTACGCCTGTTACTCCTAATGAAGCATAGGCTGCCGACTAGCATTCTCCAACACACTCTGTCCCATTCGGCCTTATTTTCTAGTTCCATCTAATTCTTGTTCATTTTTTTCATGTCTATCTCCATTTCGCGGCGTAATGAGTTCTTTGAACTTCCCCTTCTCCTCATTTGGCATTGAGGATTCCATGTGAGGGCTTGTCTTGTGACGCAGTTCGGTGTTTTCTTCAATGTGTATCCTATCCACTTCCAGCACTTCATCCTGATTTCTTTCTCAACTGGGATCTGATTTGTTCTCTCCCACAGTAGGTTGTTGCTAATAGTGTCCGTCCAACGGATCCAAAGTATTTTGTGTAGACAATTGGTAATAAACACTTGTATAATCTGGATGATGTCTTTCATAGTTTTCCAGGTTTCGCCCCATACAGTAGGTCTTTTTTGAAATTTGTATTGAAAATTTTGACCTTGATGTTGGTTGCCCATTGTTTTGAGTTCCAGACGTTCTTCAGTTGTAAATATGCTGCTGGAGACTGCAAACTTTCAACAGTTTTTATCTAATTTCAATAGTTGAAATCATGAGTCAATTGATGATAGACCACCATGGAAAATTTGGAAGTACTAGATGGCGGTTTCGTCCTATAGTGAGACTCCTCGGCCATGCGTTTTCACGATTCCGCACGCGGGATTCGAACTCAGGGATCTTCAGACTCTTGCGCGAACGCTTAACCTCTAGACCACTGAGCCGGCCGTCATCCAATGATGTTAATATCTAACTTGTACTTTAATCTTAGAATTTTCCAGTTTCATTACTCTACATCACTCCACTTTTGTTTCTTACTTAAAGCTGTGTACTTTAGTGGGAGATAATGCAACCTAATTATGTAACAGTTATAAATGTGAACGTTTAGTGTTTTTTAATGACTCGTTATTTATTTATTTGAACACACAAATATTAGTACAAAGGGGTACCGAATACATATGCACCACAAAGTTAATTGATTTGTGTGTGGGTTGTGGTACACCATGAGCACACAGACCTCGGCATGTGGCTCTCTTAGGTGACCACACCCACAGCATTCCACACAAATGTCTGATACACAAAGCAGTAGAGCAACGTCATAAGATTCAGTCCAATGGTAGCCAGTGAGCAACTATTGGTTCGTATATCAGTTTTTTCCCTTAGGATCCTGGAGTCAATGTACACCATTGGTTTGGATTCAGGGTTTTCCAACTGTCTTAGGTGGATCTTCTGTATCCACCAACCCGATTAAAGCACCTGACCTTCGATTTTCGTCCTTTCGGTTTCCTAAACAACAGTAATGACACGAGAATGCAATGAGTAGGACTTCCTTGGTAGTGGTTGTATGCACGTCGCCGTGTGAGAGCATTTCGAGATGGAGAGTTAACTCTCCCCATCCTCAGTCGTACCAGGGAATTCGGAGGCGATGACTCGTTGATCAAAATAAATATAGGATCAAATCCATATTTTTGATAGGTCTAATCAATTTTCTGAAATTTCATCAATTTGGAATAATGATTTGACTGAATTTGCATTCAATCATAGCTGTGTGATGCTGTCAAGTGA